GCCAGATGCAGCGTTGGCAGGAAGGGGGACCAGGGCCATGCCACGTGACCCTCCAGCTGTGCGCGCCCGGACCTCTGGAGCTCAGCTCCGCCCCGGCGCCAGGAGGACTCCAACCTCCGAGTGGGGACTAATCCCTGAGAGGGAGCCTCCTCACAGTTCCTCTGGGAAGGCCTGTTCTGGGTGCTCACACCCCAAATCCGCCTTTCCGGGGGTTGGGAAGAAGCATCAACTCCTCTGGTTAGCTCCCCACAACGCTCCACTCCCCATCCTGCCTCTCCAGAGTGGGGCGGAGCCTAGGCTGCAAGGAGCCCCCGAGCGAGCGGGCCAGTTCCAAATGCGCATGAACCTGGCCACCATCCCGGGCCTGTCCTGCAGGCCTGTCCTCAGCAGCCCTGATTCCATCAGGCAGGGTGCATATGCTGCCCTTGAGACACATGGCTGCCTTCTCACTTCTGGCTCTGCCATGCTTCCGACCTCCAGTAAACACACGCAAGGGACAAACAAGGCAGCCCACCCAATCCTCAGGACAACCCTACCAGCAGCTCTCATTCATGCCCAGATGGCGACACTAGGGGCTCCTGCGGAGTTAAGTGACTTGCCCAGAATCCAAGGGCCAGAAAGCTCTGCCCCCGGGTCTTCTGAAATTCAGTCTAGGATACTTTTTTTTTTTTGAGGTGGGAGTTTCGCTCTGCTACCCAGGATGGAGTGCAGTGACGCTATTTCGGCTCACTGCAACCTCCCAGATTCAAGCGATTCTCCTGCCTCAGCCTCCTGAGTACCTGGGATTACAGGCACCCACCACCACGCCTGGCTAATTTTTGTATATTTACTAGAGACAAGGTTTCACCATGTTGACCATTCTGGTCTTGAACTCCTGACCTCATCATCCGACCTCCTTGGCCTCCCAAAGTGCTGGGATTACAGGCGTGAGCCACCGTGGCCGGCCAGTCGAGGATTCTATCTATCTGTCCTTCCTTGCCCCTCTCATCCATCCACTGGGATACAGAACAGGGGGCCAACCTAGTCTGCTTTAATTTCACAGGCAAGCACTTCAGCCTGTCTCCCTGGGGGCTAATGAACCTGAGCCCAGACCCAGGTGCAGTTCTGAATTCCCTGGTCCTCAGAATAGCCTCCTGCAGGTAGAAATGATCAGGCCTGTGCTGCTGCAGGTCATACTAGACTGGCAGGGATGGGGACAGCCTGGGAAGGCTCCTCGAGGAGGCCTTGGTTAAGGGATTGCTCTGGGATCCAGGTGGACAGAGGTAGTCTGGGATGGAGGGCTAAGTCCCTGCCCAGCTCAGCTGCCAGCTCTCTCTTCCTTGGTCCCAGAGCATGTGGTGGAGCCTGAAATAGACAGCCTCCACCACTCTCTAAGAACCCAGCCCCATCCTCTGCACAAGGGCTAGATCTGCTCCTGATGGCTTCTTCCCACCAATGTTCAACCTTAAAAAGCCAACTCTGGGGCCGGGCGCGGTGGCTCAAGCCTGTAATCCCAGCACTTTGGGAGGCCGAGGCGGGTGGATCACAAGGTCAAGAGATCGAGACCATCCTGGTCAACATGGTGAAACCCCGTCTCTACTAAA